GTGAGAGGAATGCATGATCCTTCTCCAGTGTGCCTTGTATTCACATGCTTTCCCCCTCAGAAAGAGCTGGGTGAGGACATAGGATTCAAGTGCAACTATGGCCTTTAAGGTCTGAAGCAGGGACAGTGTGAAACTGTGATGGTTCCCCATCTTGCAGAACAAGTCCTTGCTGAACGTCTCCCTCCAGACATCTGGGCATGAGGGGTGAGGGGGCCTGAGCGTACAGTGCCTCCCCCAGCTCTGCCCTTTCCCCCTCCCACTCAGTGGCTCCTGTGATGGAGAAGGGGAGCCAGAATACTTTACTTCTTCCAGACTTGAGACACAGAACAGGAGCCTGAGGGACTATGCATGGTGTTTATTGGTGATGACAGGTGAGGCAGGATCTTCTGGAGCATGCTCTGCAGGTCACACACTAGAGCCATAAGGCAAGAGTAGCTGGGTAGACAGGGCCTCGAGGGGCTGTCCATCGTGTCCCATCTCTCCCCATCTAACCCTAACCTAACAAGCGGCAGCTAGGAGTCAGGGAACAAAGTCTGGAGCTCATATCTCCCAGGAATTATGAGGGAAAAGAACAAATGACAGGATGCAAGGGCAAAAAAATGAGAAAGGCAAGGAGGTGGTTGAAGCTGTTCTAGGAGTTCTCTGCTACACGCCCTCCTTCCCCAAACCCCCAATCTGGGTTGGCTCCTGTTTTCCATTTGGCTTGACCATGCTCTTGGTCCCCAGTCCTATCAGATGTTAAGAAGCTTCCTGGCAGGATGAGGAGAGCCCTGTCCTCCATGAGTTTCAGCTGTGAGACTGTTCTTGGGCCCCAGCCTGACCAGCCTGCTGCTCTGGTATTGTATGTGGATACCCAACTCAGCTTACGGATGGGCATGACACCCTGGTGGGCTTTGATTGTCTCATTTCTAATGTGCGGCAGTGAGGTGAGTGGAGGCCCTTGGACCCCAAAGCACAATCCCTGAGTCCCTAGACTCTTAGTACTTGTGCCTGCTCAGGGACCGTGTTTTTAACTCATGCCATGCTGCCCACACCCCTACCTTCTTATCACTGAGGGGACATCCCTTCCCTGAGTCTGGTGGGAAGGCCCCAGCTAAGGGGATCCTGGCCTGAGGGCACTGCCCAGTGGGGCAGCTTCTTGTGCAGGAGAAGGAAGGTGCCAGGGGTGTAGAACACACAGCTAGTACCTGGAATGGGAGCCAGAGTGGGGGATCACTGCCCAGGAGGTGAGGGGGCCTCCTGCTTCTCCCAGAACCTTGGAACCACAGGCAGCTCTGAAGCTGGGGCTGGGCAGGGGGTCATGGGGGCTGAGCCTAGTGCCAGCCTAATGCCAGTCTAACTCCACCCTGCCTGGAGTGGGTGCCCCGGCCAGCTTTGCCTGTGCCTGCCAGGGCAGGGCAGCAGGAGACTATCAGTAGCTATCTTTGGGCCAAGGCCGGTTGCGTTGCCAGTTCCGGTCATTGTGGTTGTGTTCCGAGTCCTGGGCCAGGAGCCGGTCCTGGGGATCGTGCCCATTAGCACTGGGCAGCCCCGAAGTGTGTTGGCGGTGAGGCTGATAGAGGTCCTGGTAGGCATCTGCATAGTCCTCCTCCAGGTGGCGAGAGCTACGCTGTGAAGATCCCGTCCAGGCTTGGCGGGAGCTCTCACTGGCCTCGTCTGAGGGCATCAAGCTGTCCCGCTCAAGGGGTGAGTGCTCCTCGCCACGCTCTCCCAGCAGCTGCTGGTTCTGGGGGCCGTACAACAAAGCTCAGTGAGGCAGCACAGACCTTACCTTGGCCTCTGGTTGGATGAGAGATGTTCCCCCTCAACTCTCAGTTCCCCAGTACAGGAAACAGGCCAGAGCATTCTTCCTCTCCAGACACAGAAAATTGGAGCTGTGACTCCCACAAAATTCAGGCTGTGCCTCAAGGGAGGCAGGAAGAAGGGTTTGGAGATTATGTTTCTCTTGCACTCTAGAAAACTAATCTCTGACTACCCATCTCTGTCATCAGGGAGTCCCTTTACCGACCTGCACTAGCTCTACAGCAGTGCTGGGTTCTACCATCCTTTGGCCTTCTGAACAGCAGGCCAAGGATGAGCATCTGGGCAGGGAAGGGCAGTGCTTTGGCTGGCTTAGCTTGAGCATCTGTGCTCACTGGCACTGGTTACCTGAAGTCCAGGGATGGCACTGGGAGGGCCCAGAAGTCCAGGGCCAGGGGCTGGGTGGTGGGTGGCACGCCAGTAAACCTCTAGATACTCAGCTAGGTGCTCACAGGCATCCTCCAGTTGGTTCTCATCCAGAATCACATCAAACGACTCCTGAGGAAGGAAGGTGAAGGGGAAATGTTGGCTTCCTCTCAGAATCCCCCACCCCCACCATCTCTATCACCTTTGGAAAAGTGGGCACAAGAGTAGCTGACCCAGGTACCCACCGGTGGGCACTGAACCAGCTTATCATATGCCATCATCTGTACAGTCAGGTGCTTCATCTGTGACTTCCCCCGGGAACGGATGAGACGCTGGAGTACCTGAGAGGGAAGGGCAGGGGTAGGCCAGGAGTCTCTCAGGGCCCTGGGCAGAGCCGGGCTTGAAAAGAACTAGGCATATTCCCCACTTGTGATATGGCAGCAGTTGCAGGGAAGGATGACTCACAATGGTGTTAAAGAGAAGCAAAAGAGGGAACTCAGTGCCCTAGGCAGGGACCAAGCAGAGTCATGCCACATTCTAGGGGACAGCCTTGTGGACCTCCATAACCCCAGCTGATTTACCTTTGGTGAGGACACTTTGACAAAAACGATGATGGGAGCCAGGGAGGTCTTGGCCAGCTGTGCGGGGTGGTTGATGGTGTCGGCATCCAATACAACTAGCTGCAGGGATTTGGCCAGCTCAAATATACGTTCAATCTCGCTCTGTACTTCAGCTATGGAGGGAGGGAGCAGCAGAGCTCACCAGGGCTCTGCCCACTGCTTACGCCAGTAAGATTTTGAGGGCTTCCACATAGGAGATGGGAAGGAATTGGAAGGAAAGGGTACTCATCAAGGCCTGGGCAGTAGGGGAAGAGAGAATTGAGGATAGTGGAGTGGGTTCTTGCTGATCCTGGACAGATAGAAAGTTGGGCAGAAACACAAGGAGTTGGGGAAGAGAAAAAGGGAGGAGAAAGTGCTCAAATGGGCAGAGAAGCAGGAGACGGGGACTTCTCACCAATGCTGGAGCGGGCAGAAGAACGCTCGATGATGGTCCTCTTGCCAGGATTGTTGAGCACAGATCGCTTTGCCAGTGAGAGGTCAGCTGTGACACGTGTAATGGAGATCCTAGGGTGGAGGTAGAAAATCCCAGCTTGCTTCTAGACCCTAGGCCTCTACTTCCTAGCTCCCACCAGCTTTACTTTTAGAGAAGACTTTGCCACAGGCATCTGGAGGTAGGCCAGGATCTTCATTCTTAGGCCATCTCAGGCCAGGCCAGCTTACCTGCCATCAAACCTATGTTTGAGGAAATCGAAGAGAGCCTTCTGCATCATGTCTGTAACCTGCGAGGGAGGGCATGGAACTGATGGAGGGCCCTTTTAGAGAGGGACAGCATCCCCATGCATGGCTCCAGAATCCACCCTTTCCACACATAGACCCTAGAGAAGAGAACACTCCTTTCCACTGTCTCTGGGGCCTTCCTTGGCAGGCTTGGTAGAGGTGACTCTTTGGGGTCAGGATCTCTCACCTCATACCCTTTCAGAGAAGGTCCCACCAGCACCACAGGCCGCATGGAGGGCACCACATCGTATGGGGGAACATGTTCCGCCTGCAGAGTGGACATAAGGTCAGGCAAAACCATGGCCCTGGTGCCTGCCTTATGCCCAGTGGGTGGTGTGGGGGCAGATTCAGAGATTCTAAGCTCCTCCCCCTCTCTGATCTCTACCTCCAACAATGACTGCCCAAAAATCTTTTCCCAGAACCATAGCCATGAGCCCCCCACTCCAGGTTCCTTCCTTGACTCACCTGCTTTTGCTTCTGCTTGGCTTTTTGGAAAAGGAAATAAAAGATTAACATTTGTGAAGGGGGAAAAGTCCCTGGGGGTATTGGATTCCCTTCCCCAGGGCAGATACTGGGATTCTCCCACTGCTTTTGGACTCCGAATAGCCCCTTCCCACACAGTTCACTAGGGCAGAATCTCCCCTTTTCCTAATTACCCACCTACCCAAGAAGGGTGGAGCTGGGGGGAGGCTACCTAGAGACGGAGGAGGGGAGCGTCGGTTGCCAATGTCACTCAGGCTGGAAGGGTTCCCAGATCTCCTAAGAGAAGAAAAGGATTAGAGAAAAAGATGGTGTCTCTGTATGTGCATGTTCTATGTGTTATTTCTTTTTTTGAGACAGAGTCTCACTTTGTCACCCTCACTAGAGTGCTGTAGCATCACAGCTCACAGCAACCTCAAAGTCTTGGGTTTAAGTGATTCTCTTGCCTCAGCCTCCCAAGGAGCTGGGACTATAGGTGCCTGCCACAAGGCCCAGCTATTTTTAAAGATGGGGGTCTCACTCTGGCTCAGGTTGGTCTGGAACCTGTGAGCTCAGGCAATCCATCCGCCTTGGCCTCCCAAATGCTGGGATTACAGGCATGAGCCACTGAGCTTGGCCCTATGCATTATTTAATAGTTGTACAAATTTCCATATACTTTACCTAGTGAGATAAGTGTAGTGTGACGTTTGCATTTGTGTATGTGTGCTTGTTTGGTTTTGGTTTGTTTTTTGTGAAACAGAGTCTCACTCTCACCCTGGGTAGAGTACTGTGGTGTCATACCTGATAGTAACCTCAAACTCTTGGGCTCTAGTTATCCCCTTGCCTTAGCCTCCCAAGTAGCTGGGACTATAAGTACCTGCCACAACACCTGACTAATTTTTCTATTTTTAGGGGTCTTGCTTTTGCTCAGGCTAGTCTGGAACATTTGCTCACACGATTCACCTGCCTTGGCCTCCTAGAGTGCTGTGTGCTTGTATATTTGTGTGGTATAGTTGTGCAGAGCTAAGCATATGAGAGTAACAAGGGAGGGATATGTATGTATGTACACACGCATGCATGTGTGTGTGCTGATGTGTACTGTGGATAAATTACACATGTTTGGGGGGTTATTTACTGAGTCAGAGCCCTGCTCTCACCTGGCCTTCTGCTCCTGTTTCAGCCGGATGCTCTCTAGGCGCTGGGGGCTGGGGATGAAGGCGATGTCCCCACCCTCTTTCACTAGCCGCCCGATCCACCAGTCATTGCTGTATTTCTGGGGGTGGAACAGGGACAGGTGGTAAGAGCAGCAGCCGGTGCCCCAGGCCTGGCTCTTCAAGGTGAAGGAGCAGGGAAGTGTTCAGTGAGCTGATCTGAGGCAGAAGAGGGCAATGTAAGGGGCAGTGGGCGGAAGGTACCAGAGGGCAGAGTGGCCAGGTCTCATCCACCCAGGATCTCAGAGTAAGGGAAAGGATACTTCATAGGCAGCTAACCTAACTGCTCACTCTACAGATAAGGAGACTAAGGCCTAAGCCAGGTCTCACAGGGATGGAGACCCTGGGGATCAGGTCTTAGATGCAGGGGTTGTGTGAAGGATAAGATGTGAGGAATTTGGGGATTTGTTTTTGTAGACTGAGGACTGAAATAAAAAGCATTGGGATCTGGGGCAGAAGCAAGGAAATTAGGAGGTAGAGGTTCTGGGAGGAGGGGGTTAGTCACCTCTTTAATGTGCAGAAAATCTTTGGCCTCAAAGTTGACTCCAGAGCCCTGGACTGGGCACTCCTCGTCCAGTACACCACAGTAGCTGACATTGGTCCTCACCGCAAATGCCACAGGTTTGTGCTGGAGAATTTGGCCATCAGTGCAAGTGGGAGGAGCCTCAGAACACCCCTTCCAGCTTTAGTGCCCTATTAACCTCTGCCCCCAGTGGAGGAGCTTGGGGTCACCCACTGCTTCTGCCTGTTAGATGTTCTTTCACGCTCAAGAACATCTTGCCCAATGGTCCCTCGTGACTTAGGACAGAGTGCAGGTTTCCACCTAGTCTTGCCCCATTCCCAAAAGCTATACCTTGGCCCTTTCAAGCTGCTGCTGAGCCTGGCTCTCCACTTCACGCCGGGCACTCTCCCGATCCTCCTCCAGGGAGACGTCAGAGTCCAGAGATGGGCGGCTGGTATAGGAGTCGGCTGAACCCTGAGATGAGAGAGAGGCTGTGACCTCTGGGCTCAGGCATGAAGAATACCATAGAGACAACCTCCTAACCTCAGAGTGGTGCCTCTATTACCCCTACCCTCTCCAGCTCCTAGAGGGTGACTGGTTGGAACACTATGGTCCTTGCTATCCCATGAGAAAGGCCCCAGTGCCTCCCAGGCTGCAGGAAAGCTGGCCTAATCCATATGTGCAGAGATCTGGGCCCCTCCTTCCCCAAGCCTATTAATACTGCAGCTTTGAATAGAGGTTTCACTCTTTCCTCCCCTCTATCATGTCTTCTGAGGCAGAGGGAAGGGAAGTGTACTGAAGATGATATATTAGAGATGACTGTGAACAGGAGCCCCAGCCCTGTTGCTCACACCAGCCTACAAAGCGGCCTGGACATTATCTCTTTAAGATGCCTGGCAGGAGCACAGCCAACCAGCAACAGTCAAGAGATGCTGGTTGGCATAGCACTGGTCCAGAGTGTCAGGACCTAGCCATCTGCCCCCTTGGATCCCACCTTCCCTACTCCAACAGGCTTGGAAGGCTCCCAAATGGTGAGTCCCAACCCGTCTAAGGGGAAGAGGACCATGCAGAGCTGACAAATCCTGGAAGTTACCTCCCTACCCCCACCTTTCTTTCCTTCCACACCTGCTGGGGCAAACTGCCAGGTGTGGGCAGCAAACAAGACAGACCTCTAGGGCAACACAAAGCTATCTCCCTGGGCACTGGTGACGCTGGGCCACGCCTACCATTTGGCCTATATCTCCCCACCCCTTTCCCAGGCCCAGAGGATATTAAGCCCTGGAGGAAGGCCATGCTGGTGCCAGGCAACCCAGCTGGGGAGCAGACCCTGGGGATGTGGGGAAGGGGTCTTTGGTAATGTGAGTAAAGATTCTCTGAGTCCTGCCCCCAGGAAGGTTCTTTGGGTAACTGGGTACATTTGTTTGTTCTTTTTTAATCCCCTGAGAAAGGCCCAGTGCCTCCCAGGCTGCAGGAAAGCTGGCCCAATCTACCACTCTCACTTTGTTGCCCTTGGTAAAGTGCTGCAGCCACCTCAAACTCTTGGGCTTAAGCGATTCTCTTGCCTCAGCCTCCTGAATAGCTGGGACTATAGATGCCCACCACAATGCCCAGCTAGTTTTATAAATGGAGTCTTGCTCTTGCTCAGGGTGGTCTTGAACTTGTGAGCTCAGGCAATCCACCCACCTCATCCTCCCAGAGTGCTAGGATTACAGACGTGAGCCACTGTGGTCCAGCCAAACCAACCAGGGTACATTGGAAGGTCACAGAGCTCACATTCAAGACCACAAGGGAGATAACAAATGAGAGAGAAGCTGAACTTTGAAACAAGAGGCTAGAAGTCAGCCTGTTTGGGTTTTCCCTTCAGTCTAGAGGAAAGCAAATCTTTTGCTTTCTGTCTGTTTCTCTTCTTTGTGAGCAAGAGCCTGAAGTAATACTTTCCTCAATTCTGAGATGCCAGTGACAAAGAGAAGGTATGGGCCTAGCTAAGGAGTTCATACAGCCTGGGGAGCAGTCAGTCCCTCAAACACACTATACACAAGCACCTATAGAAGGCAGCAAGGCCAGATTCTCAGAGAGAAGGTTCGAGTCACATACTTGCTGTCCACTGTGCCCTCTGCCCCATCCCTGCCCTGGACAAGAGAGCTAGTCACCTTATTGTTAGCCCAGATCCTAAGCTAGCAACGGTGTCCATAGTAGACCAGAGGCATGGAGACAGAACAGGGAGTAAGGTCTTTTATTTTACCGAAATGTGGAATCTGCCTGCTGTTCCCTATTGCTCCCAAGAACAAAATAAGGCTGTCTTGGCAGTGGGATAAAGAGAGGCTGAGACCCACCAAAAACCTTTGCATGTGGATCTTAGGTTCCCAAGGGTCTTAGGGCATAAGAGATACCTCTGTGGTATATCACTGTCTAAGTACATAGGGGCCAGTAGGCCAGGAGCCAGGAGGTAAGGCAGGATGGCCACTCACTTTGGTACAGATAAATCAGATACCTCCTAGATGCCCTGCACTGTGTTGGGGGGTGAGTTTGATCTTTACTCCCTGCTCTTCAGGTACTGAATCTAATTTAGTAATCTTAATGCCCCTTCCTAGGGCATCTGGGCTACCTGGCCTCCCACTCTAAGAAGAGAATGAAGGATCTTTCCCTAAATATTTAATGAATTGTGCTCTGAATGAAACCCTCTCTCCATTACTTCCAAGTCCACAGAACTCACCTTTCTCTCATGCTCTGTATTATTTGGGGAGGCCAGGGTTGCTCTGCTAAGCACATTCCTGGGTCTTACCTTTCCCACCCCATGCTTTGCTAAAATAGCCATAGTCTCAGTACTTTGGAGCTGCCAGAAGTTGGCACAGTGCCCTGGTGGTGCCCCCCTCGCCTAGTGAATGTGTGGGCAGGCTGCAGCTCCTCTCTTGCCTGGCACAGGGAAAGGAGAGGAGGGAGATGAGCCGGTGGATTTATTTAGAGCCTGATCTCCCTCCTACTGCTTCAGAGGGGGCCTCAGGGAGAGCAAGGAGCCAGGCAAAAGACAGCGAAGTAGGGGAGGGTGATCCAGGAGCCAGAGAGGGATGGAGAGAGCAATGGGTCAGCAGGTTGCCCTCCAGCACCATCCACATGTCAGTCTTTTCCATGCCTTCTCACCAGGGATGGGAAGAACCTCCTCGGGCCCTCCAGCCCCACAGAGACATTTGTTCTCAAGCTCACCTTGGCACCCTGGGCTATGCCAGCTGTCCCTGCAACCGTCAGAAAGAGATGTCCACCAGAGCCTTGAAAATCATCTGCTCTAGCTGCAATGTAATTGGCCCCATGGCCCCATGGAGAATTGGGCCCAGAAGGAGCCCAGTCTCAGAGAAAGAGACTGACAGCTGCCCGCCCTGAGCGCTAGCACTCATCTAGCCTGGGCCTGGCAACAAGAGCTGGGAGAAGAGGGCATATCCCCCTTTCAGACGCAGGGGTAGTCTACCCTCCCACCAATCAGGGGACCTTTCCAGCCCATCTAGTAGTCTTCTTCGAAGATGGCCTTCTTGTAGTACTTTTGCAAGAAGGCTGGCAGCTCAAGGGGCTGAGAAGCTGCTCTCCATTCTTGCCCCATCTTTCCAGGCACTCTCCCTGCTCTCGGAGCTCCCGGAATCAATGCCTAATGAGCTGATTTGTCTCAGTGGGTCAGGAGATAAAAGCAAAGAGGAGAATTAAATATTTATTGGTTGCCTGGTTCTCTGAGCAAAGAGCTTCCTCTCCATCCCCAGGCCCTCAGCTCCTCTGGCTTCATCTCCAGGCAGGAGACTGGATAGTGCTCAGAGGAAGCCTCAGCAGGGACTCGGTCAGCTGTCCCCCTGCTCCTACTGGGTGCCCAGATCTCAATCTGGGAGAGAGACCGCCTAGAGGAAGGCTCAGGAGATAAGGCAACACTGGACAGAGATGGAGGGGAAGGGAATAATGGGGCTCCTCAAGTTTTATGACCCCTCTGTCTGAAGAGGCTGATACCCAGCTTGATTCTTTGATGTTCTCCCAGCTCCTTGATTTGTCACTTACTTGAGACACATGAGGTCTGGAATGTCCTCCTCCCCAAAAGTCCAAGCTTCCCTCTCAGTTGTTGTGTTCAGACCCCATAAATCCAGAACCTAGAACTCCAGGCATTACATGTTCCCTCTCTAAAGCTCTGTGTCCTAAGCCTCAGGGCCTTTCTCCCTCTATCCCTTCTGTCCTGGGCTTTGGAGCCACCTGCTCGAGCCCTTTCCTTACGCTGCCCCCTCTATGCCCACACTCAATGCCCCTTGGTCTAGGTCTGGGGCACTGGTGAACCCTTAACATGAAAACCCATCTCCCCAGGTTCCTAGAGCGTCCCCTATATTCCCTGCCCCGCCACTGAGGTGTGTTGTCGAAGTCCTGAATTGGGGGAAGGGTTGAAGGGAGAGGAGGTGTCACCCCAACTTCCCCGCCCCCACCCTCACCGTGAGCACTCACCGCCTCCGAGTCCTCAAACCCGGGCACGTAGGAGTCGTCATACATGGGGGAGTCCGGGTGCGGGGAAGCGAGCGGCGCCGGGGGCGGGAGAGGCCCGGAGGCAGGGGCGAGGACGGCGGGCCGCGCCCGGGAGATGCCACCGAGCCCCGCAGCCCTGCGGGCGGCGGCGGAGAGCGAGGGAGCGCGAAGGAGGGAGCGAGCCGCGAAGACCAGCTGCTCCGAGCTCAAATCACCGCTCCCCCTACCCCACCCCCCCAAACCCAGCCGGTCCCACCCCGAGCCCGGCTGAGGAATCTGGCGCTGGCTCCGACAACAATAGTGCCCGCCCACCTGACCCCCTCCCCGGGAGAGGGCGGGGGCGGCGGCGGGGATGCGGGCCACCGGGGAGCCCGGGACTCGGCCGGGAGAGGGTAGCAGCCGGGAGCTGGGCAGACGGTGGGTCCCCAGGCACCTAGGGGGCAGGGACGGTGGGGAGGAAGGGGAGGAGAGGCTGCGGGCGGGGCGGATCCAGGCAGGGAGGAGGCGGAGCGAGGATAGATGCGGAGACAGAGACGCTCCGCAACCCAGGAACTACTCCGCCGGGAAACAAAGGGCTGGCGCGGGGGAGGGAGCAGAGCGGGTGCGGGGACTCGGAGACAGCGCAACCCGAGCAGAGGAGGGAGAGGGCGCAGGTGACCTGAGGCAGGAAAAAGAGGAAGGAAAGAGGGAGGCAGAGGGAAGAAGAGGGAAGACAGGAAAATGGGGAGACAGAGGGGGACTGAAGAGGTCGGGGCGAGGGGACGGGCGGCCGACGCAGAAGGGGGTCCCAGGTGAGAGCATGGCGTGTCTGGGCCCTTGCGTGCAGGAGACCCCAAAAGCAAACCCCGTCATGGTACTGGGGAGAAGTGGAGGAATGGCGACCCAGACTGATACAATGAAGGCAGTTTCTGCCCCAACAGGTGCCCACCCGGCTCAGTACTGGGACGTTGTAGCAAAGGACGGTGTTGCCTAAACCTCGAGAAAGGGAGAAGTTTCGCTGAGCTGGGTAGGCCTCTCCACACCTGTTGCACGGGTAGCTTTCTTCCTAGTCCTGCCTGGTTGGGGGTTCCCTTTCTCACTTCCCTGCCAAGGATTGTGCCAGACATTGCCAAGGCATCCATGGGAACTGGGGCAGAAAAGGGCTGTTTTCTGTGAGCTTAAAGGGAAGGAGAAAGAAATTATAGGGGTGGAGACAGGGGGATAGTCCTGGTGGGACAAAAGGTGGGATCCTGGCTATACTGGGGTTGAGCAGGGACCAGGGCAACTCTCCCCAGAATTTAGTGTAAGTACAGACACCCACCCGGACAAGGGCAGGTTAGTATCCTTGTTTTAGCCTTGGTTCCACTCTGCATCACTCAAGTCTCCTTCAAAGGCAAACTGAGATTTGAGATAAGAGACAGAGCAGAAGCCCTCATCTTGAGGAAACTTCTCCAAAGATCCACCCAGTTGAGCTCCTTTTTTCCTTTCTTGAGCAACATTATTCCTTTGAATTTTCACTGCCTGTCTGGGGCCCTAAGAGTAGGATGTGAGATGAATGGGTTATACTTGGAAGCCTCCTAGTGTCTATGCTCTTTTCCTGAGCTCAGTGCTTTTCCATTCCCAGTTTCTTACACTAGGAAGGTGAGTTCAGAAACTTGCTCATCCTTTTGCCTTTCTAGGATAAAGGAGAATCAGAAAACCAAAACTGACAGGGTTTAATGAGATCTATAGTAGAAGGCATAGAAGAGAGAGGAAGACCACCCAAACTAGATCCCCACCTGTGTCACTTGTTTGTGTTCCTTGGCAAGAAAGAGAGAAGGGGCCTCATCTTAAGACTCTTTTCTGTAAGTGCACCAGGAAGCCGGAAAAACCGCTCAGTGTAGCCCTGCTCCACATCTTCCTTGTGTTAGATCTGGCAAACAACTTTGTTGGAGCCCCTGCGTCCCAGGGGCCCAGTCACTACTGGGGGAGGCAGACAACTTTCATGGTTCCCTCTCCTGAGTCCAGCACCATTTAGGAATTGATATATATTGGATCCTTCTGTATTGGAAGCTACTGGACACTGTCTTCTCACTTTGTTACCTCTCCCAGTTCCTCAGTATTCCTCATCCCTTCCTTTTTCCATCTGTCTCATCAATTCCTTCTCTCCTCCAGAAGGCCAGAGAAGTGTTAAAGAATAAGACACAAAAGGTGCTCTTTCGGGAGATAGATCTTTTTTTTTTTTTTTTTTTGAGACGGAGCCTCAAGCTATCCCCCCTGGGTAGAGTGCCATGGCATCACAGCTCACAGCAACCTCCAACTCCTGGGCTCAAGCGAGTCTCCTGCCTCAGCCTCCCAAGTAGCTGGGACTACAGGCGCCCGCCACAACGCCTGGGCCATTTTTTGGTTGCAGCCATCATTGTTGCTTGGCGGGCCCGGGCTGGGGATTCGAACCCACCACCTTAGGTGTATGTGGCTGGCGCCTTAGCCACTTGAGCCACAGGCGCCGAGCCTGGGAGATAGATCTAACGAAGAAAGCAGCAGCCGAGGAAGCTGCTTCTTTCCCCCTCCCTGAATCTACTCTCCTGGCCTCTCCTTTTGAGCTTCTCTCCACCCATAGTGGGTCCTGGGCATTATAGGTAATATTAGTGGGCAATAATAGTGGCAATAATAATAGTGGATCTGTCTTCAGCAGCACTCTTTCCTCACACACCATGTTCTCTTCTCCCCATGTGGGACAGTGGTATACAAATCTGCTCCTGAGGCTTGAGTTGCCATGCCAACCAACCCCAGGAGATGGGTTCAAGTTCCTCATACCTGCACTTATCCCCAGGCTCTTACTTCAGAGCTTCCCTTGCTTTCCCCATATTTCTGGATTAATACCCAATGACTCTTCCCATTCTCATCTTACCCACACCCATCTACTCCAGTTCTCATGTCAACCTAGTGACTTCCTGTCCTGTAACAGACATGTGCCTGTCAATATCCACGTGGTTCCATCCTCTTCTCTTTTCCATGGTTTGGGATAAAAGGAGAGAGCTGAGGGCAAGAAAGGATTAGAGGAGAAGACGACTCCTGCTGATTCTTTCTAGGAGAGAATTGTTAGGCAGCTGGCAGGTACCCAAGTTATGGAAGCAAGACATATAAAGAGGGAAAGCCTGAATAATCAGGTTTGAGAGTTGGAAGTTTGTAGGAACCTTATGAATACATTCTAGCCTTTCCTCTAAGTATACTAGGAAGCTGGGAAAACCGCAGTCCCTACGCATTGAATGGGGAAACTGAGGCAGGAGCTAGGACTGCTGGGAAGCCTTAAAGACTCCTCAACTTCCTCCACCAGTCTTTAAGATCTAGCATTCTCCCTAGGGAATTCAGGGAGGGGCACCAGGGAAGCTTGGCAGAGTCCTCCTCATCTAGCCCCTTTCCTGGCTCCCCAGTCAGTCCTCTCCTCCTTCCCAGTTTCAATACTTGGAAGCTGCCAGCTCTGGCCTCTCCCTTCTCTTTTACCCGGTGCCTCTTCCACCCATGGTTTTGGTTCCTTTGGTTTCCCTCTCTCCCCTGTGCTGCAGACTCCCCCAAATGCGGGCCTTATTCCTTGGCTTGGCACGGGCTCTCCTCCCATCCACTGGGGACCCCACCACCACCACCACCTCCCTGTTCCCGCGGTTACCTCGTTCAGCAGGAAGGTTGCACTGGAGTCAGAAAAAGACATAGACCGAGCCAGCGGCCTCTCCCCCTCCCCCGGGCCAGGGGCTCCGAGGCGGGAGCAGGACCCGGCTGCCGCTCAGCACACTGGCTCCCGCCTGCACGCCTGGCCTCTCCCCACGCCCGCCCGGCACCGCCGCCAGCTCTCTTCCCTCTCTCCTGGTTCCCTCCCCTTTCCTCCTCCCTCCCTCCCTCCCTCCCTCTCCCTTCCTTCCTCGCCGCTTCTGTCAGTCTCTCTCACTCTTCGCCTTTCAGTCCAGCCTTTCGCCACTTCGTCTCTCCTCTCTGTGATCCCTATTCTGTTTATCTGTGTGCCTCCCACTGTCCTTCCAGTCCTCAGTTCCCACCCTCCATCCACCGTATTCCCCTGCCCCTCCACTGCTGCTTCAACTCTTCCCCAGAAAAGGTAGGGACTCGGGAGCTCCTTCCGCGGCAAGCAGAAGGGCGGGAATAGCTCAAATCCTGGCCGAACACCCGATCTCCGTCCCGGTGGACGATTCTGTTCCCTCCCGGCCCTGCGCCCATCATCCCACGAGGAAGAAAGGCGCCGCGATCCGGGTGGCTGCTCTGACCCGGACCTCAGCAGAGGAGCGGACAGAAAAGGAAGAATGCTTGTGTTCTGCTGACCTGCCCAAGCGTCAAGGCGCCCCCTCTGGGTTCTGGGAAAGCCAGGTCCCTCCAGCCCTCCCAGGCTCAGACCCTGGACTCAAGCGGTGTCCTTTTGGACACAGCCCAGCCGGTATCCTCCCTGTGCTCCCAGAAAAGAGTCTTTTCTGTCACTCTTCTTTACCACGTTCTGGGGCCTCTGGTCTCAGCCTTGCGAAGGGGATGGGTGAGGCGAAGCGAGGCGGTTCCTTCTCGACCTGCTGCAGCGTCCCCGGGGCTCTCTGGCCGAGTGGCCTCACACGCCCTCCAGGTGGCTCCACCGGACTGGGGTCCAGTCCATGGGCCGCAGGGGTCCGGCCCTGCCAACAGGAGGCGCTGCCCTGGCCGGAACGGGAGGGCGCAGCCCGGATCCAGACCCCGCCCAACCCTAGGACGAACCCCTCTCCCAGCTCTTTTCCTCAGAAACTGCTGGTCCCATCTCCAGATCCCCAGCCGGGGACCCCAGGCTGTACTATCCCCACGAGACCCCTGCGCCCTCTTGAACCCTAGACCGTTCCTACCTCCATTCTGGTCTCCAGCGGCGACCCCGCTAAACCCAGTAGCGTCCAGACTAGGACTGGACTGCGGGGAGTACCGAGTCGCGGGACAGCTTCTCGGGTCAGTACCCCCTCCCGCCCCCTTCTGCGGGCACGTCAAACAGGACAAGCCCAAGTTCTGGCGGGGGAAGGGGGGGAGAAGGGAACGTAGTCCCAGTTGGCTCTCTTCCTGTACCCTTCTGAGCGGACCAACCTTTCATTGGTTCCTCCACATACCCCTATAGCCCCAGGCTAGAGCCTTCTCCAGATCAAAGACGGTCCGGGGTGCGATGGACCCCCTCGTGGAAACAAAGACTGAATGACCCGGGTCCCCAACTTCTTCCCCTCAGCATCATTTAGAACTCTCCCCTTTCAGATGGAGGGCGTTCCGCCCTCATGCCTGGCCCCTCTTTTAATCCACTTCTCCTGGATGTTCCTTGGAGCCCTCCCCTCAATCCTTACATTCCCTGGAGACTTCAGGAGACAGTCCTTCCTCTCTGTTCAGCTGACCCTCCACTTGCCACCATTTCAAAGGGAGCTAGGTTGAAGGAGAATGAATTCTCCTCTCTCCACCCCTACCTCCTCCTCAGACTGATTTCACCGGGAAAATAGTTTGGGATGGCACCTCCTTTACTCCCTTTG